CTTTTTGCCACGATAACCTGAAATTAGTGAATTTGAACCCAAGTTTTAATAAATAAATATGGCGTTGGACGAAGTTATTAACACGATAGAACTTATCAACTCTTCTGGGAAACTTCTTCATTTATAAGTTTATTTAAGTGGTCGAATTTGAGCTGACAAATTTGTTCGTGTTTTGTTTGCTTCTCCTTCAGTTGACCTTTCAAGCATTAACGTTTAAAACACGGCATTGATGTATTTGTGATTTGCATTCATAATTAGGTCAGTCCTTTTATCAAGAGTTTCCGTAGTAAAACATCGTTAGCTTTCATTCATGTAGGTAACAAATTACGCAGTGAAGTTTACCAGCATTACTTACATTTCAATATAATTATAATTTTTATTGACATGTATTGTTGAAAGAATGAATCTCAGCCTAACACTGCCTTTTTCCTGCGATGCATGTTGAAGTTTGCCATTTTAGCATTTATATATTGTATGCCTAGTTTTGCACCAACAAAAGTTTCATCGTGGCATAGTAAATAACTAACTGAATATAGATCACATTATGTTCTTATTACTTACGTCTATATCTCACACCAATCGTTTGAAATATTTTCGTCATAATACATTGAAGTTTCTATTACATGTCACACTGTTAAATGTTGGCACTTGTAATTTTAACCAATATTTTAAGGTTGTATTATGTGAATTTGAAATTTCTGTGATTCAATGTGGGAACTGAGTGCAGTTAATAAAGATAATATGACCTTGTAGGCATTGAATTTAAATGGGGACGTGTGAAAAATTCTCAAGTGTGTCAGTATTTTGGATGCGTGTTTAATGTATCAGACACCGAGGTTATTGTTCGGTCACATACTGTAAGAGGACAGGCTTTTTTATTATTTTCATTCATTTTATCGCTAGATAACCTTACGATCTCTCATTTTTTCTATAGGTCAGGGTCATCGGGCCATTGTCTTACGTAATAGACTTCAGTGGGTAAATAAACGTGCGATTCTCATACGTCAATTATTTCCACATGGGCAGTGTTACGTATGAAGTGAATTATCGGTACCATGCAGTTACATTGGGTTCGTCCTTCTTTGGAAAATCGTATTTGATATAAAAATAAAGAATAATTTTGGTTTACTTGTGATTATAAAACGAAGAAGAAGAACATAGAGAAGCAGCATATAAAGTACCCCAAAGTGGACATATTAGTTTGTCAGTAGTGGTAGCA